CTCCTCCCGTCCCTCCTTCCGTCCCTCCTCCCGTCCTTCCTTCTGTCCCTCCTTCTGTCCTTCCTCCCCTCCCTCCTTTCGTCCCTCCTCCCGTCCCTCCTCCCGTCCCTCCTCCCGTCCCTCCTTCCGTCCTTCCACAGGACCCAGAGCAGAGGGCCTGTTGCTCCTGACTATGACCTGCCCTGTGGGTGGTTAAGTCCTCACCTGCCTGCTGCTTTGGGAAGTTTATTAACAGTCGTGGCCCCAGACTCGTCGAGTTGGGATTCCCGCTGAGAAGCGCATGAGCGAGTGCCGCGCCGGCTGTTTGACCAGTGAGGCGCCTGGCAGAGGCCCCCAAAGACCTCTGGGCCCTGAGGCTGTGAATGAGTAACACGCAGGCGGCCTCCCCCCAGACACAGAGCCGTGCTGTGCGGGGACACTGCCCTCGTGCGTCAGGGTCAGAGCGGGGATGGTCCTCTGGCCTTGAGCCCTCTGCTTGGCCCTGGGAAGGGTTGCTCATTCCTTTTACGTAAGAACCAGGCTCGCGCTGGTCGTAAGTCTCACGTAGGGACAGAGGGGGCGGGCCGGGGAGTCAGACTCTCACAGAGACTCTGTCATCTCCCACGAAGCCACTTGGGGGGTGTTTCCGTTCAGGCCGCCGGCCCCCAGGGTCAGAGGAGCCGCGGTCCTGGGTCCAGTGGGGGGAGAGGACACGACCGGCCTCACACAGGCCCCCACTCTCCCGCTCTCAGAGGGTCCTGATGCGGAGCGTGGGGGGCGGGGCGGGGATTCACTCAGTTAAAGGGAACCACTCGGTCTCCAGGTTAGTCCTGCGGAGCGGCCTGGGTGTGCAGTGGCGTCCGTGTGCCCCGCCGATCGCCGCGTCTCTCACTTCTCCCTCTTCCCCGTTTCCACCTGCCACTCAGAGCTTGCGTCCCAGCAGGCAGCCAGGCCTGTTCAGAACGCGACCTTGTGGTGGCCCTGCCGTTACAGCGCTATTTGGGTACGTTTATTGGAATGTGAGCGGGAGAACAGGTGAGGTATTCTAGCTTCGAGGTTTCAGAGGCAAGAAATAGAATAGATTCTGTTCAGGTTGCAAGTCACACCTTTTCTGAGCCCTCCCTCCTCCCGTCCCTCCTTCCGTCCTTCCTTCCGTCCCTCCTCCCGTCCCTCCTCCTGTCCTTCCTTCTGTCCCTCCTTCTGTCCTTCCTCCCCTCCCTCCTTTGAGCCCAGCCGTACCGGGAACTGTTCTAGGCTGAGGGCAGGGCTGGAAACGAGGCATGCCGCCCCGCCCCGTGGAGGTTACGTCCAGGGACAGTCCGTTGTCTATATAATAAAGGCCTAAGCGACCGTTACAGTGGGACGACCACCAGGGGGCAGACGCTCAATGCAGGAGCTCCCCCTGGTAGTCAGTGCGCTCCCACAGGGGGAGCGCCGCTCAGCCAGAAGCCGGGCTCAAGGCTGGCGAGTGCAGCGGAGATGGCGGGAGCCTCTCCCACCTCCGTGGCAGCGCTAAGGGGCAGCTAGCCAAGCAGTAAGGGGCAGCGAGCAGGCGGGCGGTAAGGAGCCAGGGGTCCCCGACTGTGACAGGAGGAGCAGCGAGCAGGTGGGTGGACATCCCCCGAGGGGTCCCAGACTGCGAGAGGGTGCAGGCTGGGCTGAGACACACACACACACACACACACACACACACACACAGCGCCAGAATTTCGTGCACCGGGCCTCTAGTTGAAAATAAAGGATCTTCCATGTCCATGTGCTTTTCAAAAATAACCTGTGTATCAGCGCTCTCTCCCGTCAGCTTCCGATGCCAGGGTGCCGTGCTCACACCAAGCTGGCGCCTGTTTCCCTGTTAGTCTGGTGTTTCCCTTCATCATATGTGGTTACCGTGGCATGTGAGCTAAGCGGGGTTAGAGTTACGGCATCCAGTGTCGGAGCAGCTCCCACGTGTGGTTCTGCGGCAGGGGCTGGAGAGTCAAGCGGAATAAGACACGTGTCACCCCTCCGTGGGCTTCCGGGGTAGACGGGGAAACGGGGGCGTCATCAGGGATCGGTCCAGCAGGTGTTGATCGACGCCTGCCGTGCGGAGGTGGCCCCGGTGGAAGGGCGAACATGGGGTCCGGCCTGACGGTATGGTAGATGCTGCTGACCACGTGGGCTGCGTGTCTCGTTTCCGGGCCCACCAGCCCGCGGTTAGATTTGTCACTTACGGCAGATGGCGGGCGCCTGAAGCGTGGGTTGCAGAGGGCGCGTGGCCCCGTGTTGGGTCATCCGAGGGGGAGCTGCAGAGAGCTGGGTCGGGGCGTCCCAGGGGACGGGCGCCAAACTCAGCCTTACAGGACTGTGGCCCTGGCTGGGAGCTCGGTTAGAGCATCGTCCAGATGTGCCTTTAAAAGGTGGTGATGACCTCGGTGGCATAAGGGAGAGACGGGGAGGCCTGTGGTCTGGGAGTGGGCGGAGGGGCCGGCCTGGCCCACAGGCTGAGCTTCTGAAGGAGGGGGACCCGCGGGGACGCAGTGGGGAAGTTGAGACCTTGGTCCGGGCAGGGCGGTGCTGCGGAGCCCGGGTCACGTCTGCTGGTCGTGCTACAGGCGCGCCTGGTGACGCCTCAGCAGCCAGTGGGTGGTGGCAGGTGACAGGTCACAGGAGGTCCCGGCCGTCATCTGACATGGGTCCTGGTTCCGCCGGCCTTGGTGTCACCACTTAAGTGCATCCATGTGTGACCTTAACCGTAAAACTTCATTGCTTTATTTTACTGTGAACATCTTAAAGGTTTTATGCGAGACATTCCGAAAATTGTAAACATCCTTCGCATTCCACTGAGTCTTGGTTTCAGCTCCCCCAGGGTAACAGGTAGTGTGTGCGTGTGTGTGCGTGCACGTGTGTGCGCGCACACGTGTGTACGCCTACATGTACATATGCACGCATATCTTGTATTGGTCAAATACATAATGATTACAAAATATAGAAATTCCAACACCTTCTGGAGTCACTGTGCACATGTGTGTACATCCATTCCATATAAACCTACATACGTTTAACAGCAAGGGTGGGGTTACAGAAACTGCTTCATACCTAATGTCACAAAATCCTCATTTATCCTCTGGGTAACAGACCAGCCGGGACGGGCGGGGGGCGGGGACAGCGACCACCCAGACCCCCCTTCCTGAATAACGCATCTCCCCCGCCCCTGTTTTTGGCAGCTTCAGTATCAGATATGGCCCAGCAGCCGACCGAAGAGCAGGACAAATCTCTCGAAAAACCAAAACAGAAAAAGAATCGCTGTTTCATGTGCAGGAAGAAAGTGGGACTTACCGGTAAGGGCTCGAGCAAACGCTTCGGGCGTAAGGGTGCATGTTGAGTGTCGCCTGCTCCCCGCTCCCGGCCTCAGGGCGGCCGGCTCTGTCCCCGGGAGAGGTGACACGGGCATGCTCAGCTCCTGCGCTTCCGTAAAGAAATAAACGCAGCTGTAATTCCCTACCTGAAAGCGGAGTGAACAGTTTTCTCTGAAGCGATGGCTGCAGCTGAGTTTGAGGGTCTGAGACAAGGTAGGTCCGTGAGCCAGGCTGGGGCAGGGCCGCTGTGGCCCCCGCCTTCGGGGCCAGCCATGGGGAGGCCACATCAGAGCCGGGCGAGCTGTGAGGACTTCGGATACAGGGCCGATCATAGGTTGCTGGGAGGGTTCCGTGAGTTCACACGTGTTAACGCATGTGAGGCGATGCGCCCCGGCTGCCACGCAACACGGGATCGATCCATGTGGACCGCTGTAGCGGGGCTGTCGGGGGCGTAGTTGTTAGGAGAGGGAGGGAGAAAAAGTGTGCCAGATGCCACTTGGGTGTTGAGCGAGGGAAGGGCATGAAGTGCCGTCATGTAGATTGGTTGGGAGTTCAGGGACGGGAGTGACTGACTGTGTGAAAGAAGAGGCGCCCTGGCTGGTGTGGCTCAGTGGATAGAGCATCGGCCTGCGGACTGAAGGGTCCCGAGTTCGATTCCACGTTAAGGGCACAGGCCCGGGTTTCGGACTCGGTCCCCTGTAGGGGGCGTGCAGGAGGCAGCCGGTCCATGATTCTCTCATCATGGATGTTTCTCTCTCCCTTCCTCTCTGAGATCAATAAAAATGTATTTTTTTAAAAAAGAAGAGGAGGAGAGGCCCGTGGAGGAGAGTGTGGTGAAGGCAGATGAGGTAGCTGGGACCTGAGAGAGGAGCAGGGCTCCCTGATGGAAACGGGCGTATCAGCCAGAAAGAGTCGCCTGAGGAAAACTCGAGAAGGGGGGAACAGGGCAGCTCAGGGACCAGGAGCGGGGACGGTGGCCGCGGGCAGAGCACTCGAGGGTCGGGCAGAGCAGAGGAGAGGCTAGCGCCGTGCCCGGGGGTGCACGGGGGAGCAGCTGCAGCTGCACCGGTGACATTCATTGTCTGCCCTGTGCCCGGCGTTGTGCTGGCTTCAGGACGAGCTGAGAGGAGCAGGGGCCGGATTTTGAACAAAACGGTGTGTGAGGAAGGTGCCCCTGCTGAGGAGCAGGGGGAGGAAAAGCGAAGGAGATGTTAGTCTCACATCCAAGATGTTTAAGACCAGCCCGTCCGCCCTGACCGGTGTGGCTCAGTGGATAGAGCGTCGGCCTGCGGACTCAAGGCTCCCGGGTTCGATTCCACTCAAGGGCATGTGCCTGGGTTGCAGGCACATCCCCAGTGGTGGGGTGTGCAGGAGGCAGTTGATCGATGTTTCTCATCAATGTTTCTAACTCTCTATCCCTCTCCCTTCCTCTCTGTAAAAAATCAATAAAATATATTTAAGAAAAAAACGAAAAAGACTGGCCCGTCCAAGCACGCGCAGAGAAGACACGCGGAAATACACAGTGTTCGGTGTCAGACAGAGGCCTTCTAATGCTCAGAAAGCCTCCCACTCCCACGGGCCGCAGACTCCCGACCCCACCCTGCCCACTCCGTCCGCCTGGGGTCGCCGCTGGCTTCCTTGTCATTCATGCTTCTGGAAAAGCTACAGAATATAGTTTTATTTTTATTTTTTCAAGAGGAGAATGATGATTTTTATTTTTATATTTTTTAATATATTTTTTGATTTTTTACAGAGAGGAAGGGAGAGGGATAGAGAGTTAGAAACATCGATGAGAGAGAAACATCCATCAGCCGCCTCCTGCACGCCCCCTACTGGGGATGTGCCTGCAACCCAGGTCCATGCCCTTGGCCGGAATCGAACCCGGGACCCTTCAGTCCGCAGGCCGACGCTCTAGCCACTGAGCCACACCGGTCAGGGCCAGAATATAGTTTCAAAGTTTAAAAAACATAGCAAAGGAATGGTCAGTGTTGAAAATCCTGTGTTCCATTCCCAGAAATTGTCTCACCCCATCCAGTCCTCATTAGGGGAGCGGGGCCAGTTTTGTGTACGACCCAGCCCCTCTCCTTCTGTCTCTCTTTTGGCTTCAACGCTGGGCGTTTTCCTGAACGAAGTAGCATTTGTCCATTGCTCACTCTGTGTCAAGTAACACAGTCCTCATGGATCCTTTATTATTATTATTATTATTCCAAAATTACAATGGCAGTTGAGGCTCAGAGCGGCTAAGGAATCGGCCCGCGTTAGTGGGTTCATGCACGGGCACCCTAGCTGCACCCCCTGGTCTTAGCCGCTCAGCCAAAGTTCAGCTCCCCTTCCGTCAGGGGGCGGGGGGGCGGGAGGGGTTAGCTAAGGACAGCTGTGTGGACGCTGTTACTTGTTAACAGCTGTCGGGGGCCATTGGTCTTTCTTGGTTAAAATGTAAGCCTGCCCGCTGACCGTGTGCCTGTTGTCGCATTGCAGAGTTTAGACGCGAGAAATGTTTCCCATCTTCCACTTAGCAACCTGCTGTGACAGGAGGTAGTCGTGGCCCTGTCGTAGGTGAGGGAGCTGGAGCCCGGGGCCGTGCCCTGGCCCAAACCCGAAGCGATCAGCTAGTGAACGCGAACGTTCTTGGGCCGTGAGCGGTGCCCTAGCTGTCGCCCTGAACACGCGATCTGTGCTGAACTTAAAATGTGCCCCCGACTCAGATGTGTGTGTTCACCCCCTTTCAGGGTTTGAATGCCGGTGCGGAAATGTTTACTGCGGGGTACACCGCTACTCCGATGTTCACAATTGCTCTTACAATTACAAAGCCGACGCTGCTGAGAAAATCCGAAAAGAAAACCCGGTGGTGGTCGGCGAAAAGATCCAGAAGATTTGAGCTCCTGCTGGAATACAAAGTCCTTTGACCATCTGCAAACTAAACATTGACTTGAGGTGTTTTTCCTGGTCAGTGGGCGGGTAGAGCAGTGTCCCTTGCATAGACCTCTTAATCATGCATGTCACCAGAAGAATAGATTTTTGTTTTTGTTTTGAAAATGACTCTCGAACATTTATTTCCATTGCAGTTTCTGTGGCTGAGGAGACTTAAGTAAACTTTGCGAGTATTATCCTTTTCAGACCCTTTCCATTCTAGTTGAGCGCAGAGGGCTTTTATAACAAACGTGGAGAAATTTTGGCGGGCTGTGATTTCTTTACTTCCTCCCCCCAGTATTAAACATGCATGCGTTAACCTTGCGGTTGATTTTCTCACTGTGTCTGTACATAGAGCTTTTCTCTGCAGCACGACTCCTCTTTTGATAATGCCCCCGGGGCACAGCTAGTTACCGGTCACTGAATGTATCTGAATCATTACGGCTGCTTCCGTTTCTTCCTTAACCAAGGTTCTACCTACGTTAGCATAGCTTCTTTGCACCCACTATTTATGTCTGAATCATTTGTCACAGGAGAGAGTGTGCTGAGGAGATTAACTAGAGTTTGTATGTTTTAATTTCTTTTTTTTTTTTTTTTTTTGAGCGAGGGAAGAGAAAGCTGAGTGCATTTCATCGCTGACCGCAGGTTTCTTTCAGATTGCGTTCATCGGTCTGTGTGTACACGATATGAAGAATGATCTGAAGTAATTGTGCTGTATTTATGTTTACCCACCAGTCTTTGATTAAATAAAAAGCAAAACCACGACCCGCCCGTGTGCTTGCCTTTTCTGTTCCTCTCCTGGCGGTTCGTCACCCTCCCCGTCCTGCTGTGTCCCGCCTGCCTCACCCATCCTGTGAGGGCCCTCATGGTCAGCTCACATCTGCCCGTGAGTGACCTCCCATGCTGCAGTGATCGCACACGCCCGTGAGTGATCTCCCCTGGTACGGTGATCGCACACGCCCGTGAGGGATCTCCCGTGCTTCAGCGATCACACACGCCCATGAGGGATCTCCCCTGGTACAGCGATTGCACACACCCGTGAGGGATCTCCCCTGGTACAGTGATCGCACACGCCCGTGAGGGATCTCCCGTGCTACAGCGATTGCACACGCCCGTGAGGGATCTCCCCTGGTAAAGTGATCGCACACACCCGTGAGGGATCTCCCGTGCTGCAGCGATCGCACACGCCCGTGAGGGATCTCCCGTGCTGCAGCGATCGCACACGCCCGTGAGGGATCTCCCGTGCTGCAGCGATCGCACACGCCCGTGAGGGATCTCCCGTGCTGCAGCGATCGCACACGCCCGTGAGGGATCTCCCGTGCTGCAGCGATCGCACACGCCCGTGAGGGATCTCCCGTGCTGCAGCGATCGCACACGCCCGTGAGGGATCTCCCGTGCTGCAGCGATCGCACACGCCCGTGAGGGATCTCCCGTGCTGCAGCGATCGCACACGCCCGTGAGGGATCTCCCGTGCTGCAGCGATCGCACACGCCCGTGAGGGATCTCCCGTGCCCGTGCTACAGTGATCGCACACGCCCGTGAGGGATCTCCCGTGCTGCAGCGATCGCACACGCCCGTGAGGGATCTCCCGTGCCGCAGCGATCGCACACGCCCGTGAGGGATCTCCCGTGCCACAGTGATCGCACACGCCCGTGAGGGATCTCCCGTGGTACAGTGATCGCACACGCCCGTGAGGGATCTCCCGTGCTGCAGTGATCGCACACGCCTGTGAGGTGAAGGTGTCAGCATGTCTTTAAAGCCGAGAGCGTCTGTCGCTGAGCTGTCAGACTTGCTAGTTCTCGTCTGCCTTCCCGCTCTGCTCTCGGTCACACCGAGTCAGCGTAGGACAGTGATGGCGAACTCATTTTTTTGGTTGATTTTTCTTGGTTAAATGGCATTTCAATATGTAAAATAAATATGAAAAATATGTCTTTGTTTTACTGTGGTTGCAAATATCAAAAAATTTCTCTAGGTGACACGGCCCCAGAGTTCAGTTAGGGTTTTTCAAAATGCTGACACGCCGAGCTCAGAAGGTTCGCCATCACTGGCCTAGGAGAACTGCTGTTCTGGTAAGATGAGAAAAACGGGGCGCAGCTACACCGCGTGGATACAGAGTGCACAGGGGTCATCAGCCTGGCCGAGGAGGAGGCCGTGGTGTCTGGCACTCCCACCCGTGGCGCCCCCAAGGCGGCGGACGAGAAGGCCGCCTTCGATGGGAAGGCGACTCGTCATGTTTACAACCTCTGTGCCCAGGACGTGCCGTCGCCCAGCAGTGGGTGGACCAGATCCAGTCACAGACCACTAGGGGTGGGCAGGCCCCCCCAGCCATGTTTACAGCCCCCACCCTTGACAGTATTGAGGCCCAGCCCCCGAATGTGTGTGTACAGCCCCTGCCAACCCCACCCTGCCCACCCTGCCCGCCTGGCCAGCTCTGACTTATTCTGGAGTCCTGGCTGAGCGCTGGCGGGAGGCGCCATGGTCCAGCCCTCTCTGTGCGGCTGTGAATAGCCCGGCCCTGCCCGCGTGGTGGCCCCGGTGGCCCGCAGGCACCCTGTTCCCACAACCACAGTCTATAATAAAGGGAACTAACTAGGAAAAAAAAAATTGAAAAGAAAAACAACGCGTAAACTCAGACCGAGCAGTTGGAGGATTGTGGAGTGAGAAAGACCCCCCAAAGGCCCTCTGTCCTGTGGTTTCCACACTTCACCTGGCGGCCATCCTTTTTAAACCGTGAAATAATGATGTAAAACAGCAGTATTGCCACCATGCAAAGCTCTAGGTTGCAGTGTGTCCACTTAGGACATGTCTTGTTCTATCTTAGTGTGATGGTGGCAGAGTATGAGAATCTGTAAACGTAAATATATCACACGAACAGATGAAAACAGGAGGAAATCCATTAGAACTGTCTCAACAGATTCAGATAAAGTATTCGATAGAATTGAGCAGTCATTCGTGATTTTTAAAAACTCGTGATACGTGAGCACTAGGAAGGAATTGCCTTATATACTGATAGTTTCCGTGTAAAACCAGCCACACAGAAAGCAGGCACCTTGCAAAAAGAGACAACTCATTCCCTTTCAAACTCAGAAAGCAAGGGCTGGGCCCTGGCCGGTGTTGCTCAATGGACAGAGCGTCGGCCTGTGGTCTGAAGGGTCCCGGGTTCGATTCCTGGTCAGGGCATGTGACTGGGTTGTAGGCCTTATATACTGATAGTTTCCGTGTAAAACCAGCCACACAGAAAGCAGGCACCTTGCAAAAAGAGACAACTCATTCCCTTTCAAACTCAGAAAGCAAGGGCTGGGCCCTGGCCGGTGTTGCTCAATGGACAGAGCGTCGGCCTGTGGTCTGAAGGGTCCCGGGTTCGATTCCTGGTCAGGGCATGTGACTGGGTTGTAGGGCTCCGTTCGATTCCTGGTCAGGGCATGTGACTGGGTTGCGGGCCGATCCCCAGTAGGGAATGTGCAGGAGGCAGCCGATCCATGATTCTCATCATTGATGTTTCTCTCCCTCTCCCTTCCTCTCTGAAATCAATAAAAATATGTTATAAAAAAAAAAAGAGAAACCAAGGGATGCCCACTCACGGCTTACATTCAAAATTACGTTGCAGATCCCCGCCAACAGTAAGTCACAATCTATTACTATCGCCGCTCAAAGCATGACAGCCTCTTCCGCCGGTGAGAATGACGGGAATGACGCCTGTTCGGCCCAGGGAAAAGTGTCCAGGAGGAAAATGTAGGGCCAGACCGGAAAATCGCCCTCCGTGAAGTTCACAAAGATGGGAAAACGCTGTGCATGCAAAGGGAACGGCCACAGTGGATAGAGCGTCAGTCTGTGGACAAAGGTCCCGGGTTCGATGCTGCTCAGGGCACAGGCCCAGGTTGTGGGCTCGATCCCCAGTAGGGGGCGTGCAGGAGGCAGCTGATCCATGATTCTCATCATTGATGTTTCTATCTCCCTTCCTCTCAAATCAATAAAAATATTTTTTTTATAAAAACACAAAGTAACAAGTAACGAGAAAATGAAGAATGGAGGTTTCTGGGATGATAGGCAATCTTTTTTTGTTTTTTGTTTTTTTAAAAAATATATTTTATCGATTTTTTAGAGAGGAATAGAGAGTGAGAAACATGGATCAGCTGCCTCCTGCACACCTCCTACTGGGGATGTGCCCGCAGCCAAGGTCCATGCCCTTGACCGGAATCGAACCCGGGACCCTTCAGTCCGCAGGCCAACGCTCTATCCACTGAGCCACACTGGTCAGGGCTGTTTTTGTTTTGTTTTGTTTTTTATTGTAACAGGGCATGTTCAACATACCCCCACCCCGAAAAGGAGAAAAGGAAGTAGAGTGTATTTGCAAGCGACTTCCAATGGCTTTTATTTTCAAACACAACAGTTTGGGCCTTTTCAGACACTTATATGTAATTGGAGGGTTGGCAAGTCTATTTTAAAACGATAGCCAAACCGGTGTTGCTCAGTGGATAGAGCGCCGGCCTGTGGACTGAAGGGTCCCAGGTTCGATTCCAGTCAAGGGCATGTACCTTGGTTGCCGGCACATCCCCAGTAGGGGGCGTGCAGGAGGCAGCTGATCGATCTCTCATCAATGTTTCTAACTCTCTATCCCTCTCCCTTCTCTGTCAACAAATCAATAAAATATATTTAAAAAAAATAAAAATAAAACGATGAAATCTTCCTTCCCCTTCAGTCATCTTATGGCCACACACCTCCCCCCACCACACACCCGCATAGTGTGGGCCGCATCAGCTAGGGGTCGGTTGCTTTCGTCACTAGTTTTGAATCAATCCCTGAAGCATCATGGAGCGCCCCTCTGTACACCGTGTTTTGCTGGGTGTTGACCAAGCTGCTCACAGAATGAAAGCTTGCCGCCTTTAAGGGCAGGGTCAGGCCTGTGCAGACTGAACAAGTCAATAGCCCGCGGAAGAATGGCTGGGTTCATGGGGCGGGGCTTTATGAGGAGGCGTGGCCAGTGGGGCGTGGCTTCCGGGAGGCGCGGTCGGCGAGGCGGGGCTTCCGGGAGGCGTGGTCAGAAGGGGCGGGAGTATCGGGGGCAAATTGGGCGGAGCTTCCGGAGTCGTGGTCACAGGGAGCAGGAGTATTGGGGGCAAATTGGGCGGGGCTTCCGGGAGGCGTGGTCGGCGGGGACGGAGCTGTGAGAGGCGTGGCCTTTGGGGCGGGGCTGAATGGAGGCGTGGTTGTGGAGAAGGGGCCGCCGAGAGGCGTGGTTAGGGAGGACGGGGCTGCCGAGGGCTGTGGCTAGTTGG